AGTTTTGTATAACGACACCCATGGACATGTCCAGGTAAATGGTCACTTGTCGCAGAGGTATAGGATGTCAAGGTCTGTCCGACAAGGAGATCCCCTAGCCGCTCCTATCTTCCTCGTTATCATGGAGGCGATAGCTTTCTTTTTAAGGAAAGACCCCTCGATAGATAGGTTAGTAGCAGAACCAGACCAGCAAGGCAGAAGCATCAAGCTCCCCACAACTATACCTTTTGCAGATGACTTAACAGTTTTGATACGGGCCTCAGACTCCTCTTTCCAAGCCCTTATACGGGCAATGAGCGCCTTCCAGCTAGCATCAGAATTGAGAATCAATTGGCCTAAGACAATGGGTTGGTGGATGGTACAGGAGACCGCAGAGGAACAACCCCACCCATTGAACTACAGAGGGATGAGCTGGGTGTCAACAGCTGAACCCTTGAGATAGCTAGGGATTAGATTGGCGGAATCAGGCCCCCATCACTCAATGGCACCGGAACTCCTGGCAAAGATGCTAACAAGGATCAGTGCATGGTCTCAAGTTTACACTTCGTTGTTTGGGCGAACCCTCATTCTCAACACCTCAGTATTCTCCATGGTATGGTATGTCGGCACGATATGGACCCCACCATTCCCGAAAATGAAGAAATTGAGGAGAGATTCAGCGACCTTCCTATGGACATCGAACCCAACCAAGCAACATTTTATCTCCAAGGCGGCATGGCGACACGTCATCAAATCCAAGGACCAAGGGGGATTGGGTATATTGGACCTGAAACGGCAACTAAAGGCGCTCCAAACAAAACGGATCTTGAAGTTGATCACGCATCCACAGCTTCCTTGGGTCCCGCTGGCTATGGAACACATTAGGAAACAAACCAAATACAAACCTCCCTCCAATATGAAAGGGCATTATGGCTATTGAGCAAGAGCTGGGCAAGGAAAGGAAGGCGTGGAAACGAGGGAGGAGCAAAAGGAGGCCCTAGGGGAGAGTCGTACTGGGCCCAACTGTTGAAAGCATGGGCGAAAATCTTCCCTGCAAAAGTCAAGGAACCAAGTACAAGGGAGGAAGTCCTGAGGCAACCTCTCTTCTGCAATCCATGGGTTGAGGACCAGCAGGGGAAACCGTGCACTTTCACGACGAAAGTGGGGAACCTGGCTGGAGCATGGCATTTGGCAGTTAACACATCTATGGTCAGAAGACAAACAGCAGTGGAAGACAGCTTGAGAGTTAAGGGAGGAAATGAAAGGGAGCCACAGGTTGGCAGAGAATCTCAATGAGATCTTGTCCTTAATCCCGGAAGGCTGGACCGGAGAGTGGGCTGCCTGGTCCAATAAGGACGCTCCAACGGAAGCATTTAGAATCGGAGGACAGGCGGGACCGGGAGGGGAATGGCTGAGCGTGCCGATGTATACAATCCAACTCCCAGGGGCCTATACAAGCCAATAAGACAAAGGCACGTGCACCCAGATCACCATAAAAAAGGACCAGCTGAGGAAGTGAGGGTGATAGAGACGGAGGAGTTCACGATCTTTGCTCCAGCAACGGATATTCAGAACTTGGAGATCGACCCAGTTGAGTGCGCCTGGAATCTCAGGGGAGGTGGACTAGGCATAACAAGACGAACTAACATACTCCACTACACAACCAAACTAGGCTACAGACTCAGGAAGCACTCATCTCCATTAGCGGAACCCTTGGCACTAAGATGGGAGAAGAGAATCCAGGTACCAAAAGAAAAAGTGGCAAGATTACCATGGTCATCCTTACATCAGATTCGCTTAAGCAAGGTAAGGAGTTTGCAGTGGCTGATCTTCCACGTGGCAGTCCCGGTCAACTCGTGGCTTTTTGAACGCCGCAGCCAACACCACCGAGATCCCACTAGTCAACAGTGCACACAATGCACGGAAGGAGTACCGGAGACCCTGCATCACTGTCTCCTTTCTTGCCCGGAAGCACTATACCTATGGAACGAGGCTACCCAAAGGGAAGGAGACGCTCCTGATAGGAAGCGACCTCCCCGCGGCCTGGCATCAGTACCAGAAGCGCACATTCCAGCTTATAAGGCAATACATACTGTGAACAATATGGAAGCGCAGATGCCATCAGGCCATCGGAAACAAGCCAATGCACAGGCGAGAAGCGAAGGAGACGCTCTACAATCTACTGGAAACAGATATCCGGGCACAATGGAAGGGAATCCACAAGCAGACCGAGCAAAACCCAATGCAAGCCAAGGACCTAGTCGAGAATTTTCAAAAAAGGGTCCTGTTCCAAGGGAAGATAGCAACCTTAGAAGGCTCGACGCTGAGTTTCCATTGGTTTGAAAGGTAGACAAATTGAACAGGAAACAACTGGAGCTTTAGGGTTTAAGCAGAAGTAATCAAAAACGGGACAGAGTAGGGACTTGAAGTATAGGACGCAGTTAGACAGAGCAACAAACCAGGCCCCAGGCCTGTGGTGACAGAGAGGATGTGGGTCGGAGGTAAAGGGAAAGAGGAGCAACAACAGATAGGTCTAGGGTTTAAGGTGAGGATAGGTGGAAAGAGAGAGGGGAAGGAGAATTTAAGCCACAAGAACGGACATTAAAAATGACCATTTTTGGACAGACCTTCGGATAAAATCTCTCCTACTAGATGGGAGAAAGTTTGTCAGCAACCCTTGTTCAACAACAGATGGATATCTGACTCACAAGGTACAATGCTTCACTGCATGGATTCACCCTGGAAGGGGTGGGTAAAGCAAGGGATCCTAAGGATTGGGGACATTTGGATTTCAGAATCAGAAGACTGGCACTCTCTTCCCGATCTTCTGCCCAGCCTACGGTACTGCAGGAACACAACAAGTGCACTTGAGAATATCATCGAAGCCATCCCGATAGATTAGATAAGAATCCTCAGGAAAGGCCCCCAACTAAAAGAAAGTGATTGGGTGGAGATCAGGGGGAACCCCCAGCAAATAGGAAATGTGGTAACGACAGATGGAGGGGAATCGGTGTTACTCTCATTATTCTCCATTAATCAGAACAACAAGTTAAAAGAAAGTCCTACTAAGGAAACCAGATGGATAAATGCTAATCAGGTATTCAGGATTAGAGTTCCGAAGCAAAATGACTTCTGGTTTGCCTTCAAACTAACATGCGCAATCAATAAACTACCCCTGGACCCAATTTATTGGACATGGTCAGTCCCAATGAGGAGCCGGAAAATTTGTACCCGGAAAATCCACTCTCTGACGGTCAAATCAACCTATAGAATGCTGAGACCCAGATTGAATTTGCGTGATCGGGTGGAAGCCAGGTGGATGAGACATCTGAATGTAAGTAAAGAAGATCTGAGAAACATAAAGTGGTTCAAGACTATCAAGATTCGTCCGTCAAAAATTGCCTCATTGCAATGACAAATTGATCATAGGTGCCTTCCCACCAATGACTGGCTTATAGATAGGACCTCACTGGATGAAAAAGGCCTTGCTTTACCTTGGTGCAAATTATGCTCCTCTGTGTTTCCATCCAGGAACATCTCGGAAACCATAGAACACATCTTTCTTCAATGCGCGAGCGCAGTCTGGTTATGGCGTTGGTGGGATAGGATCTGGAACTCCCTTGAGACCTCCATGAAATGGCCATGGGATTGGAGGGCTCTGCTTTGTGAGACATGGACACCAGACCACTGGATGATTTCTCTCATAATTTATTTAAAATAGGCAGAAGAGCCATTCTCTGGGCCCTCTGGAATTGTCGTTGTACGTTTGAAATGGAAGGAGCCAGGTTGGACGGCCCAGAGCTCACTGAAGTAACTAAACTGCAAATTCAGACAGTTATCACAGTTCAATGGAATAAAGTAAAAGAAAAAAAATTCAATTCCTTTCGAAGGAAAAAGAAATCCAACGAAACATCCAACTATTCAGTGGCACCTGGCTAGGGGGACCTCAAGGAGGTAAGATTGGATGGATTAGAGAAAGTGGGATAAAGGAAGAGGCTAAGGAGGGGCAGAAGGAAGAAGTACATAGGGATTACCACCTGACCTTCCTGGATTGGATGAATGTGGATCCAGCAATTCCCCTTCGCCCTTTATCAGAGTTCCCGGACCCCTTTCCCCCCTCCTCATTATCACTGGTTCCCATAAGTTGGTATGGTTGTGAATGAGGGAGAGATGTCTGGAGAAGGAAATTGACTTGAGGCCCTTTTTCTCAAAAGGTAGCATCTGTGTCTCTAAGCTGTATAAATTAAGGACAATGCGTAAAGGGACAGTGGAAATACAAGCTATGAGTGTAGTTGAGGCAGCATCATCAACAATATTACTAATCCGTTCTTGGTACCAGGGCTTATCGATGAAAGCTGGCGCCACTCAATTGAGGGTGAAGAGGTACAAGGGACGCTGGGCCCGGTTCCCAGCACGAACTGTTCTATCACCATTGTACTGTAATCTCAGGGACGCTGGACCCGTTTTCCAGCAGGTGCTGCTCCCCACCAATAGAATGGAGCCCCCAGTGTGTCGGGTAGGAGTGTATGCTCTTACAATCACTCCTATCGGATACCGTGGGTTTAAAAAAAAAAAAAAAAAAAAAAAGGCAGAAGAAAATAGAGGCAGGTTTAAGGTGCAGCAGGTTGGGGCAATCCGTAGGGGTTTCAGTTCCTCCATGTCATTCAGCCCTCCTTGCTTAAGTGCAACCTGGGGGTAGGATTGTCAATTCTTTCGGCTTCTAAATGCACCCTAGGTTGGCAGTTTCTTTCGTTTATTGCCATTTGGTCTTTTGTTATTCCAGTTTTGTCTTTCTTCAGAAATAGCATGTAGCTTGACAGGAGAAAGGGACACTGGACCCGGTTTCCAATTTGAGCCTAATCTGGGTAATGGCCCCAGTTTTCCGGGTTGAAATGTGGAGGGTTTCCTGGCCTCCTTTTGCTCTATCATAATGAATCATGCTATTTGTTAAAAGAAAAAGCAATCCTCAACCCTGACACACGTTGCTACGTTTGGGGAACACTTTTCCCTCTCTCATGCAGGCGATAGTGGTGGAGTTCCTTGGCGACTTCGCCACCACAACGCATCTCAGATGGGATAATTGGCTTATCTGCATTGCCATTGGATTTGTCAGGTACGCTTTCGGAAGATTCCTCATAAAGCATGAGCCAAGTGCAATGCATGAACATTTCTGAAAACCATCAGTGTGCAATTCTGACTCCAAGGAGAGTCAAAAGCAGCCTGGATAGCAGAAGGTCGGGAAAAAGGAAATGGGAGTCTTGGAAGTGTGCTTATTGGCCTGAGGAACTGTTAGGGAACACCCCCCCCCACCCCCCGCAAGCGTCCCGTCATCCTGGAGGTTACTCTGCTGCATGACTGGGTGCTGCTAGCAAGCCTCCCGACCAGCAGGGCAACGCCCTAAGGAAGGCCACAGACTGGGGAAGGGAAGCCCTGTAACAGTTCCCCCCTTGCCAGACGGCTAGTGCCACAAGGGACGGCCTGATCTTCTTTCTCGTCTTTTCCCCCCCTCATCTCTTGGATGTTAAAACATGCTTGCCGGTAATAAGCAACTTGATTGTTGCCCCCCAGAATAGAAGCGGCATGGGTTGTTTTTTTTTATTAAAAACAAAAGACAAAAAAAGAGATGTGCTTATTGGGTATGGCTGACCCTCTTTTCCACATCTGTTTCTCTGTCTCGAACTCATGCTTGCCAGTGATAAGCAACCGGACTTATGGCCCCCCAAATAGAAGGGGGTTTGTTTTTTGTTATTAAAAAAAAAAAGGTAAAACAAAGGGAAAAAAAAAAGGACGTGTGCTTATTCTTGTCAAATTTTTCTTGTGTGTGGAGCCCATGTGTGAGCTCTGTTTAACTGCAATCTCGATTCATCTGTCAATAGTACTCAATACACTGCTTATCACAGGTACGACGGACCTGGCTCCATAGGGCCTCAGTTGTTGAGCCTGTGAGCATGGACCTGGCTCTGATGCAGACTGGACTTAGTCAAACACTTTCCTAATCGGGCTAACCCAATAGAATGGCCATTAATGTGGGGAGGTGTTAAGGCTATTTGTGCATTTCTAAATTTGTCTGATCTTGGGTCCACATCCAGGCTTTCCAATATATTGTAGCTCATGGAGGTTTTTGTTTTTCAAAATTTCCACATAATACCTGATCTGCGGTTACTGGGCCCTTCCCTTCTCGGGCATGCAAACGTTCTGGGCTCAGGCCCCCAGCAAGCCTCGTGCCCGCCCTAAGTGAAGGCGGGCCTGTACGTCCACAAAAGGCCTATTTTCGACATGTTTCGTACATGGGGTACCACACAGTTGCAGCACGCTAGTTGGTTACGGAGCAATGTGAGCCTTCCCTGGCTCCTTCCAGAAGCAGCAGCTGTGTCGTACTGTTGAGCCCAGGGATCATTCGGTTGAGGCCCGGGGCACACACAGTGAGAGGCCGACACATCACTCAGAGGCCGCGGACCAATGAGAATGCAGCATTGTCATCACACATCTACCACGAGCCAATGAGAAAGCGGAAAACACTTGTAGCCTGGAGGGCTACCTGGACGTGCCTAACTGCATGAGGCCCAGGCCAGTATCTGAAACTGGGCCTGGGTGCAGACACTTTTGGCCAACCTGAAGCTACTGGGCCCCTACACGCCAGGCCCAGAGCAGCCAGCGGCAGGGCACACTTTCCATATAGGAAAGTGAGTGCCCAGGGGGACGACATTCTGGCCTGACTGGACAATGCGGCCATGCTGCTGCATTAGCGCATGACCAGCTACGCTAAGCTGCGGGCCAGACGCGTGCACGGGCGCTGAGGTGAGAGGGGCGCTGCTGAGGCAGCAGGCGCACAACGGCCATAGCCGGGCTGCTGGGGTGCAGGCGCGGTGATGGCGATGGTGGTCTTCGGGTAGGAGGCACATGTAGTGGAAGACAAGGTGTGATGAGGGGAGAGAGAGAAACGTACCTGGTATATGCTGGCGGTCTGCATTGGTGATGACGTCACGTACATTGGTCCTCAACTTCGAAGCAATCCTGTTGCAAGAACGTAGATAGGCTAGAGAGGCTGAATAGTTTAGGCTGGGCGCTGGCCAATCAGTAGGAGCGACATTGGATACTGTGTTGGTGTGCCAGAGAGCGTCGGCATTGATATTTGAGTTCATTGCCTTGCTCTCATTTGGATGGTATCTTTGTGCTCTCTGCTCGGTACATGACTATCTGGACTGCAGCGTGATTTTGCAGTTTGGTTTTCTGTCTATCGCTCTTGCTCACATTCCTTGCAGATCCATTGCCTACCATAGTCTGTTACTCTGCTGAAATTGAATAAGATTGCTTGCATACTCTATATTCATACTCCATTCTTCGCTAATCAACATAGAGTAAAACTGCTTGCATATGGACATTGAATAAAACTGCCTGCTGAAAATGAAAATTGAAGAAAACTGCTTTGTTGTAAAGCTTGGCAGTTATTGTCCAAGGACTGCCAAGTGAAGCACACCCAGCAACTGCAGAGATGTTCTAGTAATGCGTTTCGGTGGGTGGGAAGAGGAGGCCAAGGAACACGCCATGCAATTAGTATCCTTCATCTGTCATGCAATCCAACTCTCTTCCCTCGAGTGTGGAAGTCCGTTTTTCAAAAATCCAAGTCCATACTTCTTCCAACATATGCCAACTAATACCTCTGTGCCATCAGTCCAGCCCAATCCTCTGCAGGCATCGGTCCAGTTTCTCGCCATCAACGGTCTCATACATCAATGTGCGGAGCTCAGTTGGTACACCCATGAACTGTTGAGATACAGACCCATCTGCAGAACATTCCAGGACTCCAACTCCAGCTCCGGACTACCACCAGCGAGTGTGGGGGGGGGGGGAATACAGACCCAAGTTGGAATCCAGATGCAATTAGATGATCAGAAAAATATGATTCTGAATTATGTGGGGCCGGTCAGTTCAGTGGTGATATCTCACTGGGCTTTTTTTTTTTTTGTTTTTAACGCCCAGGTTGTTGTAGAGGCAGGGTATCAGGCGCGGGAATACTCTCCGGGGTTCAGTCAAGTTTGGGATGACCCACTCGGCCCTCTGGAGCTCCCTAGACGGAGTCCTCTACGGGCTTAGAGCCCTAAGTCCTATTGCAAGTCCTGTCCCTTCCACACCTACAGCTTGCCACCAGAGATCCGATTCTGTCCCTACAGATCCAACCTCCAACTGGATGTATTGCGGGCCCACTCTAAGCAGCTTAACTGGATGTATTGCGGGCCCACTCTAAGCAGCTTTGTCCCCCAACCATTGACTTAGCAGATCCCTAGCCGATCCCTCCTCGGACAGGGGTAGAGGGCCTAGCTCCCTCCTATTAATGTACAGTACACCCCCCCAATCCACCTATTATACCCACTACTCAGGAGACAGGCTCAGTACAAGTCCTACCCAAGCTACACTTTATCGGCGTCCTCTCTACTAGTCCCCCCAGCCCCTATACCCATCTCATAGTCCATCCTTGCTTGGTCCCTGGTGGGCCCGAGGACCCTGATGACGGGGCTATGAGAGTACCCCAATGTATATACACTGCCTTGAGACGACCAGCCAGCCAGGTGGTCCAGTGGTGATATCTCAAAGCCATCACCTATCTACCCCCAGAGAGTCAACACGTGCATCCCGTCCGTTCAAGCAGTCTGTATGGGAAGATCAGAAGTGGAAAGCCGATCACAAAGTAATTAAAATTTCAAATTTGGCAACCATCCTGTCGATCCAGACATTCTCAACATTAAAGTTTTTTTCCCCGTACATGGTTCAGTGGCCATACGAAAGAGGGAAGAGTGGTGGTTCTGGGTGGGTGGGTGTGGTAGGAGGAATGGCAGGGGGGAGGGGGCGGTGTGGCGCACGTGGGCTATTTCTTGCAGGAGCACCGCTGCAATTGGAGTAGAATGAATGTGAACTTCATTCATACTCGCACAAGGTTCGAGATTGTGCCGACAGGCAAGTTGTCCTCAAGACACATTCATTAAAGTGAAGATGGAGGAAAGAGAAGAAAGATGAGAAGAGAAGATGAGAAGAGAGAAAAGAGAAGAGAAGAAGAAGAGGAAGAGAGGAGGGAGGGGGGAAAGTGGAGGGGTGGGTGGGGGACGAGGAAGAGAGTAACACATAGGAGGGAGGTCGTAGCGGTCGTCGCGAATCACTAAATACTAAGAGAGCCCCTAGAATTTCAAACTGGCCGCTCCAAGACCTCATCAACTTCTAAGCATTAGACCCAGTCCAAATTGCGTGACCCGTGAGAAAGAAAATATCCCATCCGATCCTTCGTCCGGCCAATACTCCGAAACAGCGTTCGGAAAGACCCTTTTAAAATTTTCCTCAGCACCCTTTAAGCCAGGTAAATCTGAAGAAGGGTCAGAGAGGGGACGCAAGACGAAAAAGTAGCATGAAATCAGGGACCGATGATCCTGGGGACAAGTCCAGTAGTGAGACAGCGGGATGATCGGAGTAAGGGGAAAACAGAGACATACTTCAGGATGTCATGGGATCGACTCCAGACAGAGCAGAAAGGACGTAGAAAAGAAAAGAAGGATGCTAGTCTAGAGTGGTCCAGGGATCGAGGCCCGCCATTTGATCAAGGAAAGTCCAGAGCAGGAAAAAAAAAACTCCAGAAATGAGTGGCCCCAAGTACCTGAAACGGTATTCACCAATTCGTGGTAGCTGAGGTAGATCCCAGGGCTCGATCCCTAGTTTCCCAACTTACCTGTGTACAATACCAGCGACAACT